TCATCCTCAATTTAACATTCAATGGTGTTGTAAGTAACTTCCAGTCCAACTTCTGATCACTCACTCATATGCTTCAGATGTGGACGCTGTTTACTCAGGCTCTAGCCCGTGGTACATCCACAACTCAAGTCTCCATCATGAATACATCCACGAACTTCATGGTTACCGCTGTCTTAGGCGCCTTGATCTTCTCAGAAGCTCTCCCTCCTCTGTGGTGGGCTGGCGCTGCGCTACTTGTCGCAGGCAATGTCATCGTGGGTCGGAAGGATGAGACTAAAGATGCTGGCGCCGCTGCCGCTGCTGAAGGGCCGAGTTATGTTCCTTTGCCGAGTGAAGATGATGGAGCACAGCGGGATGACGATGAGGATGTTATTGATTTGGGCAGAGAATCGGATGAGAGAACACGATAGACATGGTGGCTAGTCACACAGAGTGCCACGAGAGACCTGCTGTTGAATCTCTGATAGAATTGAGACATTTAGCATAAGTTGAAAAGAGAGAGAGAAAAATAGATTCAATCCCGAACACCAGCTTATCATGCACGTCTCTATAGTAACAGATAGTAAAAGGTAGCAATCAACATGGTCATACAATTACCGCCGACTCTCCAGCTCGACACCCTCATCGAGCACTTCCTCGTCACCGTCCAATATTTGCCCTCTCCCCAGTGGCCGCTCACCACCAGAAGTGCTTGTCAGGCGAATCCGGCCTCCTGAGTATCGTGAGACTCGGCCAGAAAACCAGTTACCAGCTCTTTGGAAAAGGTTCCAAAGTTGCTCTTGCCCCTCTTCGATACGATGATCATCCTTAGGGTTCTCGGCGGCTTCGACCTTGAATTGGTATTTCAGACAGTCTTTGACGGTTACGAGACCAGTGAGTTTGCCATGATATTCAATCAATATAACTCGAGGTCCGATCTTTTGAAACAACTCCATGACGGTCTCGAGGGGTAGTCTCGGGTGAGCTGTGACGGGTGTTGCATCAACATATCGACTAAAGTCGAGAGTTGAGGAGTGTGATGAGTCGCTATGGATGTTGTTGAGCGATGTACTGGATAGATTTGCCGACGATGGTGCAAATGTGCATTTTGCAGTCTCTGATAACGGTGAGGTTCGACTCATCTTATCAATGGCATACCGCAACTCCGTACTACCGATATAACCAACAAGTACCTTGGTGTGTTTATCTTCCACCACGGGGAAGCCTTGGTATCGATCATCAGCGAGGAGGCTCTGGACCTCGCCCAAGGTCAGACCATGAACTGGCATTGAGACGACAGAAGTTCTCATGACAGCTGAAACAGGAACTCCGAAATTGTGCTCCTCTTTACTGTCGAGGAATGGCATCCCGCTGAACCATATCATTCTATCTGCGATGCCTCCCTTGCCAAACAATTCGCTGACAGCTTTGGTGACTCCGACGACGATCATGGTGGGGAGAATATAGTTCAGAGCACCTGTGAGCTCAAACATGATGACCACCACAGATATGGTAATGTGCATGATGCCACTGAGTGCCGCAGCGGCTCCTAGTAGGGCATACGTACCTGGTGTGATGCAAGGCTCGTCAGGTTTGCATGCGGAAAAGAAGACGCTGGTGGGATTGGCTTCGTGAATGGCTTGAACGAGAATTCCAATTGTTCTTCCGAAGGACGCTCCAATTGCCATTGAAGGAACGAAGATACCAGCAGGAACCTTACATCCATAGGATAGTATAACGAGGAACAGTCTTAAGAAAGTCGCCAGGAACAGTGAAATTATGTTCCACCATCTCTTGTCAGGCTCGCAGAGACCGTGGTACGATTCTCCACGTCCGCACTCCGAGAAGAGAATCTCCATACTCTCTGTCATGTCTATCCTCAAGAAGGCGTTGGGGTAGGCAATAATAGCAGTTCCCGCTGCCAGCAAAGTCGCTTCGAGAACTGCATACTCTTTCAAGTACTTCTTTCTGAATGACTGAACCCGCAAATTCCACTTAATCACAAAGGCTCCGTAGAGACCTCCGAAGATACCAATCAGGACGTAGAATAGCAGCTCGAAGAAGTGCCAGTCGTTCTTATACTCGACCTGGAACATGACCAGTTGGCCCGTTCGGAAAGGATTCATGGCAGCGAGAACAGCTGTCGCTACCAGGGCACAGAAATAGCTTCGCCATAATGTCTTGAGAGGGAACTGGTTTGACATTTCCTCAAGAGAGAAGAGCACACCGCCGATAGGACTGCCAAAGGCGACAGCGACACCGGCAGCTGCCGAGGCGCTCAGAAACTCCCTAGTCTTAGAAGCGTTGCGTTTGTATTTGTCGAAAAGCCGAGAGATCACATTTCCCGTACACACGGCGTAGTGTACACTTGGGCCTTCTTTTCCAACCGACAAACCAGAGGCGATAGCAAGAGGGAGGCATACCGACTTGATGATTAAAGTCCACCATCCAAGGAAGCCTTTCATAACGAACCCGGCAATGATGCACTTGATCTCAGAAATACCCGAACCGGCAGCATATGGTGCAAAAGACTTAACCAAGGTGCCCGCGACGCAAGCAAATAGAGTCTATGTCGTTAGTATACACAAGTATAAATGAAGACTTGGCACTTACTGCAAAGACAAAATAGATGAAATAGTTGAAGGGTTCGAAGCCAGTCCATCTGTGCCACTGATCGCAGCCTGTCGGGTATCAGCATCATTCATATCACCATACCCTGGACACCACATACCATTCTCCTCTCCCCAGCAGCAAAAGTTCTCATTCAAGTAGAAGCCTGTCTCGCAGTAGCCCATCTTGACATCGGAGAGCCATTCTGTAATGATATTGAGTAGCGCTGCATTCAAGCCAATAGCAATACCAATGATTGTTACCACGATCCAGGCTTGCGCTGCATCATAGCTCCTCCACAGCTGATATCGCCAGCCAGGTTGTCCTTTATCGTAGAGGCCGGCCGCTTGCTTTCTTCGCGCCTTACGCTTAGCTTGTTCTCGCGCCGCATCTTGCACCCAGTCTACCGTATATCAGTATCGAAGTCTGTATTGCAGTCGATCGAGTCGCATACCTATTGTTGTAAAGTCCTGGTCCAGCTAGTTAGCACAGAGCCGCATATCCAGTGTCCCACAACGTACTTCATATCTCTTAATCTCGGCAATCTCCTCCTCGATAAGTCCAGCCCCTGTCCGTGCTGCACTCCCTGTTTCTTGATCTGCACTCGAAAAGACGGAGGATAAACGCGATACCACCGAAGGACGTCTTTCAAGTCCAGGTCCAGGAGGCGCCAAGCTGAAGGATGATTGTCGCACGTTCATGGTTCAGGCAAGGCGACCATTGTCGCTCAACCGCTATCTTTGAAGTCGCGCGAGTCGGGATGATTAGATTGACTGATTAAAAATGCTAGCGAGGCGAAAATGAGAGCTGTTTCTTTGGTAAAGGCTATTTCGTAAACGTTGTTAATATAGTGAGTGTCGTAGTGACCAACAGGGATGCTGACAGCTGATGTGTGGCTTTGGGTTCAGCCACAGTATCGCGTTTAGTGGTTGCAGCATCGCGTCTCAGACTCAGACTTCATCAGTGAATATCATTCTTCGTTTACTGTATCTTTACTTCACAAGAACAGTAATTTCACATCCGACTCGACTTATTAGCCATTGATAGCGATATAAAACATTTAAGGTCCTCCTAAATAGGTAAGCATATCACTCATATTCCCTTCGTTCTCTTCCCAACTCTCAAACGAATCGCAGCCCCTGATACAGTTGTTGGAGAATTCGCTGTAGTCAAGGTAAGGCTCACATTTCTGTTTAAGACGGTCGTGCAATTCAAGTGCCATTCTCAACTACGAATTCACTGCATACTTCATTTTGTTATTTATTTATCATTTTTCTCCTATGTATCCTGTCTTGTATTTGCTGGTTACTCCTCCAACTTTCATATCCCTGTACTGAACTTTGGCCTTCAACCCTCACCAATACAAAGCCATCCGCCTCACGCATTGATACATCTGTTCAGCTCTTTCTAACTCACTCAGACTCACTCAATCCTTTCACGCCCTCTAGCGATTTCGTCTCTACTACCGCCATGCCTTATAACACCACTGCTATTCCTCCTCGAAAGGAGCCCACAGGCCAGAATCAGCTACCTCGTAAGCTATTGACCATGCTCTTCAGTCCCAACCTAACATGGTGATAGTCTCTAGAGTTAAAAAGATCATTGCGCAAGACCCAGATATCGGCCTGTGCTCTAACAATGCAGCTTTCGTGATAACTCTCGCTGCCGTATGTGCTCGCTACCCATTCTCACTCTCGTCATACTCATGCGACATAGGAAATGTTTGTTCAGCATCTTGCGGAAGAGTCACATACCCAAGCCAAGCTAGACCGCAAACCTCGTCGAAACATCCAATACAAGGATGTCGGTAAGTTGGCTCCCTCATCCTTGACTCAACAGCTTTTCCTAACTTCAATAGCAAGCGCTGTTACACACCATGACAACCTCGAGTTTCTTGAAGACGTGGTACCAAAGACTGTTCCCTACAAGAACATCAAGGCCAAGTCCAAGGCCACGCAGGCACGACTCCAAGGTGACAATACCAACCAGAAGCTTGGATTTCCTCTAGCAAACGGCGTTGGCAAGCCTCTTGTGAACGGCAACTCCGTGGCTCATCATGATAGACAAGATGACCCGAACTCGCAGCTGGAGTTGGAGTTCAGACAGGCTTCTGGTGCGAATCGAGATGGAGATGTAGCAATGACTGGCTAGGTATAGTTATTGCTCACTTGCTTGGTGGCTTATGATAAAAGAGGCGTTTTCAGGGTTGACCGCTAGCACACTGAAAACGAGGACAAAAGCGGTCTATCATCATCATGTACATCACAAAACGAGTGACAATCTTGATATTTGGCATCAACTTCCATTTCTTAGGGTGGGATGATAGCCATAATGCGAAAGCGAAATGATCCATAGTATTTTTTCTGCAATCCCCAAAACAAGTGGTACGTAGCCGTCATGATTGTCAAGATTTATTCCTCCATGGCATCTCCGTGAATACCAGAAGGCAGACGTCCCTCGTTCAGCTCCTTCTCCAGCGCGATAATCTCCTGTAGGCTGGTAGCCTTCTTGATACGCTCCTGTAGTCGCTTCTTCTCGGCGTCCGTCAGCTTTATCCGGGAAAGTTTGGAGGGCGCGTCCGAGCCGTCGGTCGAGGTGTTGAAGGTTGTGGTCTTGATACCCTGGATCTGTGTCGTTGTTAGCGTCATAGAACTGTTTGTTATTGGCGATGCCCGTACCTTTGAAGCCAGAGCCGTTGGCTCCTCTTCAGTTCCGAAGAGCTCGCGAGCCTTCTCCCGCTCGGACTCTTTAACCTTGGCGAAGTCGAGAAACCGCACGGAAGGACACTTCCATAGTACCCAGTATCGGTAGTTCTGCATCTTGCATCAGTAATTGCTACTCCAGTCGACACGGCTCAAACTGACCTCCTTCTTGGAAACGGGGTTATCCGACAGTACCAGGTGCGTCAAGCGGGGAAATGACGCCAGCGCATCCAAATCCGCAAGCTCTGTCAGGTTGTTCGACGATAACACCAGGTTGGCAAGGTTTGGAATAGCCTTAGCCAGAGAGGGTTGAATACTTGAGACGCGGTTTCGTGCGAGGAGAAGGGTCGTTATTCGAGGCGATAAGGGAAAGTTTCCCAGTACTTGAATGTCATTATCTGTGAAGTCGATGGCATCGTGAGGCTAAGCTGTTAGCAACAGAGCAACAAGGCAGAGAATCTGGAACTTACACCAGCGACACCCAGGTTCTCAATCGCGGGAATTCGGTGGCCTGTTCACGCCGCAAAGACGATTGTATCAACTCTGCGCTCTCTAGAGATCAAAAATGTAGCATCTGCTCTTTTCAAAACGCACCTCGAAGATCAAGCTCTCGCTCCTTGAGCGGGTTGAGGTAGGATAGGGAATCCCGGATGAGGTCGGCGGTGAGCCGCATCTTGGATTTGGGGCCGTTACCTCGGGTTCAGAAATGAAGTTGCTTGGATTTGGCTCGCTGCGTGATCGAGTTTGGAGACTGTTTGGAAGGGCGTGTGAATGTCGGTAGTGTTGATTTATGGTAAGGCAAGGCTGCGACTTGATGAGGCGTGGGGGAAATTTTGGTGTCGCGTGTGGCTTGAGCTAAGAGTGGCACACACGCCCCAGCCACCATAGACTCAGATTCATGGACCAGCAACACAATAAGGTACCTACTCTAAGGTAAGTTTTACAATATAACCCAGTCAATCACTAAATAGAGAGTGGTTCGGGATATTCGAAAGAGTTCACGTATATCCAGCACTTTTTCAGAAGTTCTTCCTCTTTAGCACACTACAATTGATAGGACAAACTCCAATATATCTAAGCTTAGCAGTTAATGATAATGTAATTCTTGCTTGGTTGTTCTATCCAGAAACAAGCTCCTGGCAAACTACAAGGCGATTGCTCTTGATGTGTTTATGAATTGCATCGTGTCACCAGCTGTATCACGGCTCTACTGAAACACAAAGACGACGCCCATCCTATCCACCGAAACACTCATAATATAGGGGAACTCCAACAACGCCACATCTAAAATAGAATCCACGTGAGACTGAAGCAACTGTTGTTGCTGAAGGGATATAACTGTCGATCGAGGTGGTCGGGCGGTCGATGACTTGGCTCTTGATCCAGAACCAGCATTAGGGGCCGTCGGAGCCTGTCTAGGAAAACGCTCCGTGTTCAACGTCAGCGCCGTTGTTGGGTGGGAGGTTGTGTAAGTCGGTTTAGGTAGATCTGGGGATAGTCCACTGTAGATGAACGAGCTCTCCATCCGAGACAAATCCCAGAAGCGAAGTCTCTTATCTGATCCGCCAGTGACGATGAAGGCGTGTCTCACGTCTCTCGAGTCTTCTGTACTTGCAGTTCCGACAACCATAGCACGAACTCCACGATCGGCATTGGCGATTTCGTTGGGTTCGATGTTAGTAGCATATCGTCCGAGCATGCCTTCTCGCTTATCTTCATCCACGTCCCATGGCTCATACGCTTTGAGTCCATCCTTGCTGCCTCCCGTTCTATAAATCTCTCGGCAGACGGTTTTTTCCAGGTCCCAAACCGTCACCTCGCCTTGTCCAGTACCGCCAGAAATGCATACCCATTTGCCACGGCCTTTAGTAGGGTGGATGCAAATTCGGTAGATTGACCCTTTGCCTGGTAGGCCCCAACCTTTAAGCCTCATTTTGAAACGCAAATCCCAGAGATCAACAACTCCATGAGATGTGCCCACGCAAAGCCAGTTGCGCTTCCTATCCACACAAAAGCAAGTTGGCGTTCCATGGTGCACAGGGTTCTCGAGAGTGTATAGGAGACTCATGGTCCTCAAGTCGATACCAAGAATCCTTGAGCGATTCGTAGCGATGACAAGAATAGAGTTCGATTCTTGTCTGAAATGTTCACACCACACCGCGAACTCGCCATCTGGTAGTTGATACTCTCGCAGAACGCGCAATTTGCCGTACCTGACAACGCCACCCGCAGATACGGTGTCGACCTTCACCACGTGAACGGTGCCATCAGATGCACAGCTCACAAAACAGTGTGAGTTTTCTACAAAACAGAGGGCAACAACTCGTGTGTTATCTCCGTGTTTGTGGAGTTGACGAGAACGGTGTGTAATGTTTCGCTCGAGCCTAGCCGTATCCCAAACCCTCACAGTACCGTCGTCGCCACCAGTGATGAAGAAGACATGGTCAGGGGATGGTAAAACCCTATTGATGGGACTCTTATGTTCGGAAAACGTTGCAACAAGTTGTCCGACCGGCTTCCAAGGTTCCTCGCCAGGTTGAACACTGGCGCGACTTGCTTTGCTCCGCTTGATCGGCGTGACCATAGGCCCAAATTCAATAACATCACGAGGAAAGTTATCAACATACATGTTATCCAACATTCTTTGTATGCTTGGATCGTTGCCTGCGTAACTATGTTTCGACGCCCGGGAGCCGGTAGTGTCGCCTTCATTCCCTTCAGAGGAAGCTTGCTGGTCGGTTGAGGTCTGAGCAAAAGGCCCCTCAACTTCACCAAATGCATTCGCGTCGGTGGTGCCAGTTTGTGCGGTCGATTTGTTTTTGTCCTTGCGGTCAAGGAGACTTAGGGCGCTTGCCTGATGGCGCACTGCATTTCTGGAAGGTGAACCCCCTTGAGAGGGCCTATCGTCGGCTGTCTGCATCAACTGCCCTGCGGAGGGTGCTCTAGTATGCGTTCGACCAGCACTAGTTGGTGAAAGGAGACGGCGTGATGAACGAGGTCCGACACTTTGTACTCGGCGGTTATTGTTGACCCTCTTTTTTCCGCCAGTCGAGTCGTCAATAGTCATGGAGGCATCCAAGAGGGCATCTGCAATTGTGTAAGACTCCGCTGGTGGTTCAAGATCCACGACTGCATTGGGGTCTCGAAGTGGCGCGTCATTGAAGAACACCGTCTGAGGAGTGATTCCCAGTGATTTGAGAGATACTACACCATTGGATGCGGTACCATCCGATGTAGAAGTATCACGCGCCTTTATTTTACTTAGGCGCCAAATGAACTCGCGTAGGGCATCGAGCTTCAACTCATCCTCATGCTTGAGTCCGAGGTTTCTGAGTTTTGTCAACCATTGCTCATCTTCATCATTTCGAGCCACTCGCCCCATGGAGCTTTGCATTAAGTCCCGAGAGGCACGGCTTGATGTTGACCCTTTGGAGCCGAACAACAATGGTTTGAGCTGTTGCAGGGGCTTCCAGTAGATGCCGCGTTCTGTTTTCGAGGCCCACGTTATAGCCTGGTCAAAGACGTTTCGAGCCAATGGCCTCTTGAGAGCATCAAGTATGTTGAGCTCGGAAAAGTCTGTGAGAACCTCCACCTTCAGGAACGGTTTTACAAGAGGCATCAGGTTGCACCTGACATCAGCAGGTGGCAAGTACCGTGCCGACATTGATAAGAATTCTGCGGCTGATTCGCGGATCCAGATGTTTGGGTGCATTGTGAATCGGCTGATGAGGTCAACTAGCTCCCAAACCTTGGGCCTTGATAACAAACCAAGCCCAGCGAGTTGAGCAAGCGAGTGGAGAGCGGCCTGTACCACGTACTCCTCTGGATCAGTCAAGGCTTGTATCATCAAGGGGAGCATGAACTCCTCCAAACTCGTGCTTCCAATGAAGACTGCGATGCCGACGATCGTATCAAAAAATGCGCATTTCAGCGTCCAGTCTCGATCGTTCAGATATGTGTTAAGATGAGTAAGGAGGACATCGTTTGAATGATGGTCAAAGAAGAGGCACAACTCGGGTACGGAGGCCAAAAATGCTCTGCGAACAGAAATGTCCGGGTCTTCTACCAATTGCTTTGAATGGCTCTCAAGAACCTCAAAAAGCTGTCGCCCCGCGTTGTCAAAGACGCTCTCGAAGTTGGCCTTGGCATCCGCTCCAGGCTCGACTTCAGGATCAGTAATAGGCATCGAGCCATCAGCTCGAAGGCTCGAGGCCATATTGAGGAATCTCTGTGCAGTGGTCGCAAGACTGCCGAGACAAGAAGCATAAGCTGCTCTGACCAAAGAACTAGGTACCCTTGATCTAGACCCCAACGCGATTTCCATGCGAGGCAATACATACTCTACCAGGACATGAGAGTTGAACGCATTGACCGTCTGCACCAGCTGCAAAAGCTGGGTAATGGTTCGAATAGCAGCAATCAACACTAGATCTGTCTCATCTGGGACGAGAAGTGTCATTAGATATGGCAAAACTCTGTCCAACTTGGCTTCATCGGTTAGTCTTTCAGAAAAGGCAAGGAGTACATCACATGCGCGGATTCGTGAAGATGCTCGCGCAGTGTTTCTTAGTTGAGACACGATCAGCGTCAGGAATATCAACGTTCCATCATCTTCCGGTGGCTCTAATTCGGAAGATACGGTATGGTTGTGATTCGGTATGTTAAGTCTCACTGGGAAATGCGATAGGCTCAGCCTAGGAGGCGGTTGAAGTTCGTCTGAGGTACGTTTCTCAAGCTGATAACCGAGGAAGTATGAGATCTTATCAAAGTCGTAAAATACACGATCGATTCGATCATCGGCTTCTCCAAGATTTTTCGAAGTGCCTGACATGGGACTGTTCCCAGACGAAGGGTCTGTTATGAGCTCCATATACTGGTGCAGGAAATTGTAGAAGTAATGTGGAAATACTTTGCCTTTCCAGAAATCCAGGTACTGGTCTGCTGAGTATCGTTTCTCGGGGTCAAGCTGAATCATGTGGGCTATCATATCGGCGAGGTCCTTATTTGCGATGGTGCTCAGATGCGTGATCACAGGGTCGTACTCGCCACGCCGATACTTGTACAACTGTGCGAGGCTGAAGATGTCCGACTCAAGAAACAATTGCGCAATAACGCAACCAGCACTGAAGATGTCCATTGCCCATGTCATCTTCGCATTCTTCGGTGGCGCTTCTCCAGAAGCATAGAAGCGCTCGGGGGCGATATAGCAGGTTCGGAGGCCTGAGGTATCGAAGAAGTAAGAGAAATCGGCCGGGTTGTCGTCGGGAAGCATCACAGGCTTATAGGCGGAGGAGAAATCGGAGAGGTACAGCCAATTCCATGATGTCACGAGGACATTCTGCGCCTTGATGTCGCCGTGGTAGACATCGCGTGCATGACAATCGCGTAGAGCGCAAAGCAGCTGAAAGGCCAACCATTTCTTCTCGATGTCCTCGAGGAACGGTCGAGTGCTGACTCGGTCGTATAGTGAGCTGTAAAGGAACTGGCGGACCAGGTAGCCATTGGTCTCGGTCTCGATAATGCGCTGGAATCCGAGGGTGTTGGGGATTTTATCTATCGCGTTACTCTGCTCTGATTTTAGTTAGAAGATTTCTGGGAGTGTCGAAAACGCCCGAAGGTTACCTATTATCTGTTTCTTGTATTGCTGTAACTTGACGTCGGCGTATGGCTTAACCAGGACCTTGACGAGCACTAGACCATTCTCGTGCCGCCCACGAATAGACTTCATAAACCTCGCATTTCCTATGCTTTTCTCAAATTGAACATCGCTAAGCTCCGAGATATCGATGCCTGCGGAGCCGACAGACGGCGTCGCGAGGGAGAACCCTTGACCCATGATTTGGTGGGGGGCCTAGGGGAATCGTGAAAGCTATCGATCGGTCACGCACGAAGCTATCGTCATTTTGAAAGATTGAAATGGCAGGTGCACGTCGTCTGGAATATAAGGTAGCGCTCAAGTCGCGATCCGCCGATTCGATGTTGAGGTTACCTAAGGTAGGTGTCTAGGTATGAAGGAGTAACAAGTCGTGGTTGATGCAGGAGTGAAGCTTGTCACTACAAGGAACGTCATACAGAGGCAGATGCACGCGGAAGACCATGCCCCACTAAACCACGTCTAAGTGAATTCAGCTGAGGCTCTACCCAACACAACCACATAGAAGGCCATTAAGGCAAAAGAAACCATGAAGAATTTAAATCAGAGCAATTTATGAGTCAATGAAATTTCTTCGGTATCACGCTTGCCACCCAAGGTAAGTAGAATGGCAGTATTTTCCTTGTCCTAGGTTGTGTTATTTAGCAACTTATCGTGCTCTACGCATGCCTAACAAGGATAGGTAATTCACGATCCATAATCCAGACTTCACAATGGAAGAACAAATCAACCGAATCACAATTCACGAATTAACCTATTAACTGCTGGAAGGGTGACTAGTATGTCATGTCGGAATAGCAAGTAGAAAGTCATCTACCCAAACAACAAGAATCAAGACTAATCGACCCGAGTCACTGTAAACCTCAAGGTCAAATAATCCCACAGTTCTCACGGCAGGATATCAGGGTTTGCTGCCACCATTCATGCAATGTTCAAACGGTATTCGGACTCCATAAATATCATCGATTGTTCAGTCTTATCAATTAAACGCTAGACTTAGACGTACAGGGTCTGTCGAGCTCTTCTTTACCAGATGGAAGTTCCACAAACTGTTGAATGATGCTATAGCTGAGAACTCGCTAAGCTTCTTATAACTTTGATCCTCATTCTCACGTGGAGACAACTATAAAGAATGGAACTTTGATTTGTGAATCAGCTCTCTTCAACAGTAACGCTGCTCAAGTTCCAAGTGATAATAAAGCCACGACCTGATGTTAGTCAACGTAGCTGTTGACTTGCGCAGAAGAAATGGGCTTGTAGTCATGGCACTACGTGGCTAGAATTATACGAAAGAGATGAATTGTTGAATTTTACTCACTGTATATATGGGTTGTTAGTTTTCTCATCTTTCCCCATACTGACAATGTGTCCTGACGAAATGTTCGTTGCTCTCTTTTATTAGGACGCTTCTCATCTGACATTAAACCCGAAGATTGTGGGGTCTCTCCCGTGATTGAGCGAGGAACTCCGAAACATATATGTCATTTATCTCTCTCTCTCTCTCTTTCTCTCTTCGTCAGTTCAGTAAATGCAAGTGTGCTGGTTCGCCCAGTCTTGAATCTCTCTGACAACAACTAGTCTTCTTGCCTCTTTTTCCTGGATTAATACTCAACTACATCGACATCAATTCTAGCAGTCAGGGGAAATCTAAAAGCAAACTAGCAAGTCTCCAAAGCGAGCATGGAGTTTTCACATCAACTGGATCGCTCACTAGTTACCACGAGCAAAGCCCCTGGGCACCAATATTGCTTAGTATCTAGATAACGTACCCCCAACAATCAGCCCCCTTTCCGTCTCACAATGGAGTCTTTCTGCCTACTTCGGTCTTTGGGGGTAAACCGCACAGTGCAGAAGAGTCAAATGTTCGTTTCTTGAAATCCTATGGCCACAGTGACTAGCCCTTGAGCTTGCTGATGATGCTAAGGAACCCTCGCCAGGCATATCAATGCAACTCAAGAATGTATTCTCACCCATTCACCAAACCAGGTTAGAGCCCTTTGGGAACGCGTAGCAAAGACCTTCATGAAGTCTTTCTGGCTCGAATGCCCAATCTCTAACAGCTTCCTGTTTACTTACAGGGCCCCAAGAGATGTCTAACGAACTTCATTTGCCGGCTGGAAAGGTGAATGGATGATAAAGGATTCGACAACTCAGTGTACCTAAGCACTAGACTAAAATTTACCTAAGTTTGTCAATCTTTCTAAGAATTTGATAAGATATGCTAAAAAGTTGGCCTTCTTTTATGAAGTTTTATCAGTTTAGGTAAATTTTAGTATGGTGATTAGGTACTCTGAGTTATTTATGTAAGAAGCTGAGATGTCCTTTGAATGAAAGACGAGTTCCAATCCATCGTTTATTTCTTACGAAAACGAGGGAAACGCAAGTTGTATAGCGTCATTTCAAGATTCCCATTGTTCATCACCATAAACCTAGATAGAACTATGAAAAGAAAAAAGTATCGGAAATACAGCCAAGTCCCTTGAAATCCTTAGAGCATGCAGCAACCCCGACGCTATGAATGGTCTTTCTTTTGACGTAAGATAAGCTCCAAAGTGACGATCAACAACTAGTATATGATACAAAGCCAATCCATACGGACGCAATGCTCACGCTTCGTGATAAATATAAATGAAAGGTGGAAGACGGTCCTCCGTTTTCCAGCAGATGGAAGTAAGCAAAACAAATTCCAGTGAGTTTTTTCCCCCTTTTGAAGTTTTCTTCTCCGCGGTCCGTGACGCCAATGATGATCTCGATGAGTAGTAACATGAGCGGTGCTAAAAGCAAAGTACCTTAAACAATTGAGCTTCTCGTTATGGTGTTTCGAGAATGATGGCCCAGGCACACGACTCGCGACCACGCTATGGTCCACGACTGCGCATCGCCCGGGTTGATCGATATTGCAGTTTGGGAAGTTCCATTTCGACATCGATGCCCTCGTCAGCTTCCATGATATTTGGATCCACAGCCATAGGTGCCATGGGATCTGCTGGGATGATAGGTTCGGCAACTTCGAGCTTTGCGGGCTCCAACTTGTTCTCCTCTCTAGTGGGTGTCGGGCTGCTTTCCTTGAGGCCAACGGCCATGTCGCGGCGCATACTTATGGGCCGCCGTGTCCGGACTTTGCCCATCTCGCCTGTTTCCTTTGCTAATTCAGGCTCTTCGCGCTCTACGCGCTCCATTTCTGTCTTGGCCATCTCAAGAACCTCGGTCAGTCGTTTCTGTACCTTACTGATCTCGTCGTTGCAGTCGCCATCGCGAAGGAACTGGTGAGCACCGTGCTCACACATACTCTGCACAAACTCGAGGCCCTTATCCAGCTTATCGTATACATCTGGCGGTTGGTCGCCAGCACCGGGTCGGGATATTGACATAGGACCGAATCGCCTGCTGCTCATGTATCGAAGTGAAGGGAGAACGTCGTCATTACTTCCATCCTCTGATACGTCTTGCTCGGCAAGCTTCTTGATCTGGGCAACTCTTGCGGCCATCTTGGCTTTGCGCATCAGGTTTCGACTTGACGAGACGAACCTCACAAGATCGTCAAAGAAGCTCTGCACATAGCTATCATAGTAGACAATGATCATGCTCCGTGTTCGATAAGCGGTAGGGGCGTCTTCGTTAGACATCATAGATGGCGACTTAGGCTTCTTCCTGACCTGAGCTCGTGCTCTAGCTTGTGCGGCTTTGATAATCTCTTGTTGCTGACGAATGGAAGCCGGGCTTGGGATATGCACCATGGGTGTCTCAGGCTTGACTGGTGTCTGTACTGTGATGTCACCTGCGCCATCTTCGAGGATGTCCTCATTCGCTGGAGCCTCGGCGTGAACTACTGGAGGATCATCTTTAGGCTTGAGTGACTCGGTTGAGCCTTTGTTGCGAAGCGACTTTGTCTCCGCGCTTTTGCCCTCTGCGGCAGCAACAGCGGCCAGCTCGGCCTGGCGTCGGTCGATCTGGCCACTGAGGTCGTCAAGTCGCTGTAACCAGTCCGGAACGTTATTGACAAGATTCTTAAGCGCATCCATAGCCATGTCGCGGAAGTCTATTTCTAGTGGTGGAGCCGTGGTGGCTGAAGGTATAGGGGCCCGGTGATGCTCACCCGACTCCCTAGCTGTCGGATTGAAGAATGGCAATATATGCTAGAGCTGGAGAGCTGCGTGTTTGCAGACTTACAGCGAATGAGGCAAGTTGGGAGATTTAAGTTGTATCGGGACCTGGTGGCAAATAAAGGTAGGGTGATCGGCAGCGTTTCGTGTCTCGGATGGATCAAAGTCCAGTTCGTGGGTATCAAATAGAATCAGTGAGGAATAATTGATAAAGCAAGCACCATAGCACTCTGGTGGGACAGAGGCAAAGAAATTGGATCGTTTCTTGGGTGAGACTCGTATCAGTCCTCTTTTGTCTCGTGATGGTCGTAATCGTCGTAGGCGTCGTTAGATGATACAAAGGTTCTCCCTGGACAAGGGCAGAAAGGTGTACAAATGCGTTAATGCAACTTGGTATGGATTGGACAAAAGGTCAAAGAGCTTGAGGTCAAATGCTCAAAGGTGCAGGAGAATAGAGGATGCCGTAGGTGTTTAAGATTAAAGAACCAAGGCTGGTTGGTTGAAACGAAATGATTCGAGTTGGACTTGGTTTGGTTCAGGCCTGGTCTGACGCTTGATGGGTCCACTAAGATGGAACGAACCTGGCGCGATGTTTGAATGTTGGTTGTGTAGATAATAGGTAGAACCAACAGCTGAGGCCTCGGAAAAGAGATGAGGATGGAGGTGAAAGCAAGGTTTGCAACTGTGAGAAGTCCACTGCGAGCGGTTCCTCAATTGATCGCTTACGTCTCGTCTCGTGTCGTCTTGTCTCAACAGGGCAAGGGACTCGGCAGGTCGGACGGAGGCTCAGGCCTTCTAGGGAATAAGTGGCCGGGTGGGTAGTGGGAGTGCGGCGGGGAGAAATGGAAGCTAGAGAGCGCGGAAGACGGGAATTGAAGCGTTTTAGAGAGTCCAAGCAACGACTCCCAGGATGTATGAACCCGATCCGAACAGCCCTGTCTAGGGTCTTAGTCTTATCCGATCTTACACTTCCAGTGGCCTTCTAAGCTCCTCAGATTGGCTGAACTGTCTCTGGACGGGCGAGGGCAAGCCACAGTCCACTAATGACGGGGGAGTTTGAGCTTGGCTCAGGCCGGTTAA